TGCTTGAGTCCACAAGCGAATTATACCAACCGAGCGACCCCCGCTTGTCGGCGAAGTTAGTGCCAACTTTAGCGGATAGAGGGTGTCACCTGGTCAGCACAATGGATCCCCACGGCCGTTAATCTCGGGTTTCTATACCAGAGCCGCTATTTCCTTGAAACAGCTCCTCAGTTATCCTCACGATGCTGAATGGACCCTGTTCCAAACCAACTACTTCTCACAAAATCTGGTAGCGCCAGGAATCGAACCCGGGACCTCAGGATCTGTAGCCAGAGAACTCTGACCACTAGAACACAGAGGCCATGAAAAAGACACTACAAGTAATTTTTAATAATTTCATACAAGCACAAGTTGCGTGTGCCTATGTGTGTGTATAGTGCTATCACGTTAAACTGACAGTTTTCAGACATGGCTGTACCGATATATATTCATAATTACACTATGAGCTCCCAACTATCCAACGTGTGTACATCTAAGAGGGTTATCAGACGGCTTGTTCCTACACTCAGTTGCAACGGTTCCTATGGAAGAAAATATACTGTGTCAACATTATTCCCTTGCCTCAATTAAAAGCGTCAAACAGTGAAATAATATCTCGAAAGACAAATAATAAACCTATCCTGTTGAAAACAATATTAATCCTGGGAATCATATTGCGAAAATATGTTGGATTTGGGGTTCTCATAAAGACGAGTGTGAAGAATACGATCTTCTGTGCTGCAATAAACTCAAACTTCTTCATCGTCGCCACATTCATACTCTGACTTGCAGACAATATTCACACATACGAGGGAGAGTCAGTTATAGGTCATAATGTATATAAAACGTAAAATATGTTATATTCGAAACTGGAAAGAAACATTTATTTTTGACACATTCTTCACTAACATTGATACACTTGTCCCACCTCTTTACCAGTGCGTCGAAACCCACAACACAGAAGTCTTTTGACTGTTGCCTCAGTCAATTCCGCACCTCCGTTGCATGGTCTGCGAATTTCGAACGTCCTCGAGAGAATTTCTCGACCCAGTTGTGAACCGCTTTACGCAGCAAACACTTTCCATCGTAAATGTGAAATACTGCTTTAAGGATACCATTTGAATTGAGTCATTTTGCCAAAAATAGCACAACATAACGCTGTTCTTCGGCAGTATACTCCTCAAGGACGGTCGTCATTTTGACTACTGAAACCAGCCTCCGAACATGCGCATGTGCGTGTGTTACCTAGACTGTCATGAAGCTGGACTGTGCTGCTATCTAGTGATACACATAGAGAACCTACTACGTCCATTACAGCTGTTTTACTTCCGATTATGTCCTATTTACTGACCATCCCTTGTAATTTGTGGGAATGATTATATTTTCAAGCTAGCTCCAGCAGTACAGTAGTTATCCCTGTCAAACATGGAACTTCATTCCAAACTGTGTGAACATCAGTCAGCTGGTTCAAAGGTTGAAACAGGAGACACGCACAGAAAGCCTGGCCATTTCGAAAACTTAGTTTTTACTCTAAGGAAAGAAATTAGACTAAGAAAGCGCTTGGATTGCGTGTCTCTGAGCGGCATAACTTTTATACTAAATTTCCTGAATATCGGTCAATTAGTTCAAATGATGAAATAAGGGAAACACACACAGCATGATCATCTCATAAGTCTACCTTTCTCCTAAGAACGGATAGGCCGCTATATAGGTATGAGGCTAGTTAGTCTTTCAGTGACATGATATTTGTACCAAACGGGTTCACACGCACACAAAACCCACAGTATGGCGATCTGCTAGGGGCCGCGCCATAGCTCAAGCGGTTAGACGCTGGCTTCCCACCGCGGCGGCCCGGGTTCGATCCCGGGGTCTGATCAAGTGGGATTTGTGGTGGACAAAGTGGCGCTTGGGCAGGTTTTCTCCGAGTACTTCGGTTTCTCCTGCTAATCTTCATTCCACCATTTGCTCCAGAATCACCCTCACCTATCATCTGGGGCTGGTACAATAGGCCAGAAGTGGCCGCAGTGCAAGGGACTTAGTCCCACCCCACTAGCAATAGAGAAAAAATGGTGATGTGCTAGACCTTCTTCTGTCACGAAGAAAAATTTGCTAAGAAATGATCCAGCGCGCCTCAGGTAGGTGCAACAATATAAACATGTCTCGGTAATACATATTTTAAAATATTTTAATCAAATTACACGTAGGACAACCAATCATAGTGGCCGCGCGGTCTAAGGCGCAGTCATGGTTTCGAAACCCACTCGAGGCACTGATATCTGTGTATGCCTTTATTCCGTTTGTTTTGTTGTGTGTGTAGGTAGCGGCCTTGCGACGGGCTGGTCACTCGTCCAAGAAGTCCTACCGTCTGTATATAGATTAAGAAACTTAAAAAGCGGCTAAGGTCCACAAGGGCTGTACAGCCATAGAGAGATAGATACGTATGTAAGACAACACAAGGAAAAATTACGAGTACGCCTACAATTCGTATATCACACTTCAATATTCTTAACAAGTGTTTACCACAGCAGACGAATGAGACGTCATTTCATAATCACCACTTCAGTAACTGATAAATATCCCAATGTATCACTGTCTTTTCAGTTTTGTCTTCATTCATGATTAAATCTATTTTCAGAAGGAGGTGAAAAGTACAAAGTGTAATTCTATCAAATTTATCAATATATCATAGACATGTACGCAACGTAAGATATTTTGTCTAATCTGTTTCTTTAGCTCTTGACAATTGCCGTTTTCCAGGATGAGACGCCATGCAGTCTGGTAGTACTCACATCTCAGAAGACAGTAATTTCTATTGTAAAAGCCATGAGAACTTGAAAACTTCAGCCCCTCTGGTGAATTTTAACAAATAATTCGAAATATTCATTTAGGAAATATGTTAACTGATTTGTGAAAATGGATCACTGTATCCTTTTGTTAATATAGGCTTGGGCCATACCATGGCTCAGGCGGTAGGCCGCCAGCTTACCGCCGCGGAGGCCCGGGTTGGAACCTAGTTCATGTCATGTGGGATTTGTGGTGGATAAAGTGGCACGGGGACAGGTTTTCTCCGAGTACTTCGGTTTCTGCCTCCAATTTCCATTACACCGGGAGCTCCACACTCTTCAACTGTCATCCGAGGCTGGTACAACACGTCAGTTAGTGGCCAACGTACCAAGTGGACTCAGTCTCACCCCACCCCAAGAAACTAAAAAAAGAAACACTGACTAATACAGGCTAACGGTTTCCAGAGCGACAAGATAAATATTTTATGCTTGTGAGTTCATAAGTTCGAGGATCACTGATGTGCAGACAATGAATTTCACTCTGCCTTCGTAGAAGTGAAGAAAAACTACAAATACTGCAAAACGCAAAGTGTAAAGCTATCCCTGTAAGAGACCGTGAAGGGTCATGGAGTTGTGAGACGTCAGGGCTCCCCTATTTTCTAGACAGTCGGCTCACAGATGGCTGTGAGGTTTTCAGCCTTATGCGCCGGCCGCCCTTCAACCCCAAGAAGATTCCTGGTACTCATTTCTGTTAAACGCTGAGTCAACCACACCGGTTGGAGGGATTAGGTCAATTGAAAAATCCAATGACCTCATCGGGAATCGAAACCACGACCTTCCGGCTTGTAGCGTAGTGGTTCAACCAATTACGTTACCGCGTGTCCTCAGTGCAAATACTTTAATCGGCAATATTCTCTCTAGCTTACTTAAAAGAATAAAGAATGAGCTACTTCAACTTTAGTCCGATTTATTAACGTTTAGATGGACATCAGACGTCACGAAGTCGAAATTGTTTACCCCTTGGTTTCACTGCACTGTAATTTGTTAAATAACAAACACAACAATACTGGGGTTTGTCTGATGGTATAATGGATAGTATGCAATATTAATTAAAAAGTTTCCGCGTTCGATCCCACAATATAGGAACAGCAAAAATATTCCTCGTAGAATGAGATAACTGCCATTAATTTGAAAATGGGAGTAGAGCGTGTTCCCGTACTCCAGCTCCGTGAAGCAGAGATTTCATAGGGAAGCGACGTCATTCAGCTAATCAGAAATTTCCCTATTTCTATAATATCCATCTTAATAACATCCTACCACCTACGTCGCAGTACCAGAGCGACCTCTATCTTTGAAATTTCTCGAATAAAAATGAGCATTTCTCATCTCCCCTGTGAGCTCTACTTGCGTAACCGCCTCATCCTCCATGATGTCTATCTGTCTGTCCTTCTGTCCATCCACCCAGCCATCCATCCATCTATCTATAGCTCCACAGCCCTTTGTTGGCCCTTGGCCGCTTTTTCAGTTCCTTAATCCTATACACTGTCTGTAAGACTTCTTGGACGGGGGATCAGCCCGTCGTAAGGCCGTTGCCTATACACAGAACAACATAAACATAGAATAAATGCACATAGACTCCCATGCCTTGAGTTGGATTCAAACCCACGATCCCAGCGTTCGATCGGGCGAAGACGGTCCATGCCTAAGACCACGGCGCCACTGTGATCGGCATCCATCGTGATATTATGACTTCAGTATAATCTTTTAAACCGGTCACGGTAGCCGAGCTGTCTTCGCTCGCTTGGAAACCGGGATCGTGGGTTCGAATCCCACTCAGGACATGGATGTTTAGTTTGTGTGTATGCGTTTTTGTTTGTTTGTGTACAGGTAGAGGCCTTGAGACGAGCTGATCACCCGCCCAAGGAGTCATACCGAATGTGTAAGATCTAGAAAAACCGAAGTGAACGGAGAAGTTCATGGAGGTAGGCCTAGGCCCACTGGGGCTGTAGTACCAAGGAAAATAAATAAATAATCTTTTAAAGATTACGAACTGTAAGGCTCCTCAATACGCAGTTTTCTCCAGTCTTCTGTTACTTCCTCCCTCTTATGTCCTGATATTGCTTTGCCTTCAGCGCCGTGTTCTCAAGCTCCTGCAATCCCTTCGCTTCGGACACTGGTTTATATAATTGTTAAACAATGTCCCAATTAAAGGACTTGAAACCACTGAACTGTACTTACTTCTTCTGCTGTCTCTTCATCAATACCACCAGCTGCATTGTTCAGCAATTCTGTGGCTGAAAGAAAGGAAAACAAAACACGTAGTAAACAACTGCTTCTAGTTCAGGGGGTGGAGTGCAAACGAGGAGCGAATTAATAAACTGCGGCTTCTAGAATTCGAACACTTCCTATTTATTGACATTTCATTACAATGTTAAATCCCTCCACTTAATGTTGAAACAAAGGTTAATTAAGACAGGGCTTCTCAGATCTTGCGATGCCCTAAAATAATATTTAATTTTATGTGACCCCCCAAAGTTATAAGCTGACGATGACATTATGAAAAATATGAGAAAAATCCAACACATGTACCGTTAACGGTATGAGCCGATAGCATGTGTATTAAATCTTAGTTACTGAATTTCAGAAACTGTGCTTGGATAGCAATATACAGGGTGATTCATACAGAACCGGCCCGAGGAAATGAGCTGTAATATAAAATATAACATACAGATATTAAAGTAATTTACACATATCTTATCTTGGATCGCGTTCCGTGATCAGAGCAGGTGTTGAAAGTGTCCGCCGTTTTCAAGTAGGCACTAGAAAAACTCGCTGTTCAACAGTATACTCCATGACTGTCGCCTGCGCACTGCAGACACGTTTCGGGATTGTCCTTGACCTTGCAGCATAAGGGCTGCCACTTGCCGGATCATGCGCACACCATTCGACTCAGCACGGCCCACGGATTATTATGTCGTAATTGTGAGCGGTTATATGCATCATCTGCGGAATTATTAGCAAACTCATCGGGCCGGTTCTATACGATTCACCCTGTATTTTAAATGATTCATGACAACTCGGCGAGAACCACTGTAACAGGTTGCGACCCAGTCTGAACGGATAAAGAATGCGCAATGCAATTTGTCAGTTCAGGACCGGCGGCAACAGCGCAATCCAACTGCAACCGAGAGACCACATTGATAGTATGATTTTAGGCGTGACAGATTTTACGAATTTCTTTCGATAAGTGATTATGGATTTCTGCTGTTCTTTTGATCCTGTGTAACCATTAACTGGCAGTCATCCGAAATGTTAAGCAACAATGCAAGTAAAACGGTTTTAAGAATCACGGTATCATTGATGTTCTTCGTTACAGTGCTTGGAATTAACTGCGATGAAGTTTGAGAAAGTTGGTCTGCATTTAACTGAAGAGACAGGGCGGAATTTCTCATCTTCTGAGACGGCATTTGGCTTGCGTCCGCCATGTTGGTCCCAGTTGTCTGGGGGAAGGAAAAGAAAAGATTGGAGGCATATCGGGTTAACCAATTAATTCTGTTACTGGTATCACCACCCGTCGATTCAATGGTCATTCAACGACATACTGGATTTAGCGTAGAATGAGATGGGAGGATGATTATGAATGATGTGCAGGTATGAATTTTGGAAAATATCAATATGCAATTATCGATTTCGGCAGAACCTTGACAATTGAAATTTTCTCCATAATTCCATCTTTACGAGCTTCATATGAAGCAGTTTTAAATTACATTAGACAATAATACACTTTTTTCAAGAGACTACTTACTGACCAGAAATTCTAGATGATTGTGACTATGACGTATAATACTGAGTATTACTGGCTTCTTGGACTTTGTCCATCGTCCAGTATTCTAAAAACTATAGAACACAACGTTTCGGAAACTGGATCTCTTTCCGTCCTCGGATGAAGGGAAGACACCTACTCTGTTGGGTCCCTTAGAAATGGCTAATCTCAGTCACTGCATTGGAAGAAGATACAGATTCCAAAACACTGTATGCTCCGCTTTTTAAAATACCGGACGAAGGACGAAGTCCAAAACACAGTAGTTACAAGTAATCCGAAATTATGAACTTATGAAACCAGTCTATTCCTACTTCGAAAGTTTTACCAAATATAGTCTATTAAAAAGCCATGTTTAGTAATGGCGACGCGTTACCACAATGAAAAATTGAAGTAAGAGAATGATATAGTTGTCACTGTCCTTAATTAATATAGCATAATTTCATGAAGATATGTGGGGGAGTGGAGGTATAGCTCAACCATTCTTGATCTCTGCCCTAGATGTAGTACTGGCTAGGATACACTGTGTCCTTCAGTTTATATTGTGATATGTATACCCACTGCCAAGTAAGAGCTGTGTAAACAGGCGACAGTACAAGAGCAGCTGCTAGGGAACGGTTCTGTGGACACTCTGTATCCCCGGCAACGAGAGAACACGTAATAATGGAAGAAACGTATTTTGTGTTGTCCGTGCCGGGTCTATATAGCGAGGACTGGTAGTTCTACGGTCGCACTGTAACTCTGACTTGAACTTTGACTTGACAAGCAGAAGTCATACAAAATCATAATAATGAACATGTTTGCGGTATAGGACAAGGTGAAGCCAGACACAGAAAATATAGGACGCTTAAACTTGGCGGTGGTCAAGCTTATGACCGTTCAAATGACTTAGTTTTCGTTGTAGCATAAGATATGTAAGTTATGAATGATCTGCTCTGTAAAGCCTGTACTGACAGAAGACTTGTGTGTAAAGCAAAAGGATGAGTTTTCGATAACATTATATGTGCGAAATATACACTTGACGAAAGGTCGAATGTATTCATAAGAGATGGACCCATCTTCTCGTCAGAGAGGATGTTACATAAGGACTATTACCGCAAGAGCTCAGTTGGAAAAAAAATATCTTTGGTCGTGGGCCTCAAGGGGCCTGGTGAAGTGACGAACTGATTGGCAGTAAACCGCCAGTCGTAAAGTAACTCTGACTCTGACTCTGACTTGTTGAAGCCAGCTACTTTTCTCATAGACTTAGGTCCCCTGAGATTCGTCTTACATTGAATGGACGAAATATCCCCTTTGTAAATCACGTTAAATATCTCGGTGTAATTTTCGATAAGAGGATTACGTGGAGATTGCAGGTAGAAATGATTGAAAAGAACATTTATTAGAACCTACTTCCTATTCAGAAGTGAGCGTTTAAGAGCCAACATTTAACTAAATAAGTGATCAGATCAGTAATGACTTACGCTTGCCCCACCCGGGGATTACCGGCAGATATCTACGTCTTAAAATTGCAGCGCCTACAAAACAAGGTTATCCGCAACACTGGAAATTTTCCAAGGTGCACAGTGGTCCGCGATTTGCACACGGCTTTCAACCTTCCATACGTACACGATTATGTAATAAAATTATGTATGTAATAAAATTATGTAGGCAGCAAGCAGAACTCATACAAAATCATGAGAATGAACGTGTTCGCAACATAAGACTTGGCGAAGGCAGGCGTAGAAAATATAGAAGGCTTAAATGTGGCCGTGGTCAAGCTTACGGCTGTTCAAGTGACCCAGCTACCGTTGTAGTATAAGTAAGATAGGCGTGATCTGATTTCCAAAGCCTAAACTGACAGAGGACTTATATATAGGGCAAAAAGAAGAATTTTCAATAACATATCATATGTGCGATACGTATGCTTGACGAAAAGCGAAGCATATTGATATCAGACAAACCCATCTTCTTGTCAGAGAAGAAGTTACACAAGGACCACGACCGCAAAGGTCCATTTGAAAAAAAAATCTGGTCGTGAGTCTCAAGAGGTTTAGCACCAAGACGAACTGATTGGCGGTAAACCGCCAGTCGTAAAAAAAAGGACATGAAGAGTAGTTGTTTGGTTGGTGAGTAAGCTATTCAGTCGAGAGTTGCTGTAGCTGAGGCCGGGGAGATTTCGGGATCCCAGAGGAAGGGGTATGTCCGCCGTTGGAAGCCGCTACCAAGTAACAGCTTCTAAAGACTGAGAAAGACTTTATATGCAATGATCGTTGGAGTGTGTGAGTCAGTAAGACTCTCGTAGTTATTTGTAGTTACAAGTTTAAAAGTCTGAAAAAACCGATTACCAATCAAATCCCCGCCTATCGTCACTTATCATGTAACAATATTAAGATTGTTACTAATGGTATCAAAGTTTCGTGAGAGGCAGCCTTGTCTGTGTATATTATCTATTCATTAAATACAAGGTATGCAAGTCATAGTTCAATATTAACGTCACCTTACTTATCTTTATTTTTTCAAAAACAAACAAAGGAAAACGACATGAATGTAGATCCCATTACAGCAACTCCAATTGACGTAAACGCTTTCTCCTTTCCCCTTTCCCTTCTGCACAGCTCTTCCTCCTGGTGGCCTGTGTTCATAACCCTGTCGTGTCTTACGAAATATTTCATTCACCGATTTTGCCCCAGGCAGCCGAAAAAGGCGTCGCTAAATACTGATTTATATAAATAAACCGGATCCCATATTCAGTAACAGAAAATCTGCCTATTTTATTTTTGTTATGAAGAAACAAGCATTAGGTCTAATTTAACGACATTTTAAAAGTTCTTCTGTGAAAACGCTTCGCTTCGTATCGTACAGCGTGAGGCTACATGAAGAGCACTTGAGAACCGTGACAGATATCTCTGTGTGCCTTCAACTTGGTGGCTGTCACCTTGGGTGCGATTTATATATATGATTTTAGCGAGCAAAAAAGATGCAGGGTTGCTTCCTTTATCAGGCTACACTATAATTAGTTATATCCTAACAATGAGTTCATCAGTCCAGACATTTGAGAGAAAATGTTCATTTGATATAAATAACATGTACACAAATATACCAAAATTAGTTACTATAAACATAATAACTAATATAATAAAAATTAACTAAGGAATTGATGAAAATGTCCAAAAATAAATAATACATATAATAAAAACTGTGATAGAACAGAATTGCTTTCACTTTAAACTGGTAGATTAACCTTTGCTGCACCACTACATGAGATATTTGATGAAACATATATCCAGCAAATAGAATGCAATCAAATACACGTATATCCAATTTTAATAAAACACAAAATAAATGGGTACTTTAGATATGTTGACAGTATTTTCATAATTTACGATCAAAAGCAAAACAAACATAGATGAAGCTTTAAAAGAATTTAATAAGTAAATCAACATTAAATTCATGGTAGATAAAGAAGGGCATAACTCCTTTATTTTCCTTGAA